GAGTTAGAGAAGATTAAAGATTTGGAGTTTTTGAGTGAAATCTTGAAATAGAGTTGATAAGTTGAATTTGAAGTTAAATTTGACTTGTCATCAGCTTAATTAAGAAGTATTAAGTGTTAGAATTTGATTTGAAACATGTTGAAAATTGGGTATGATTCTTGAAGTTCATAAAGAGGAGAAGATTTTGAGGTTTAAGATGTGATAAATGAGTAAAAATTAGTTTAAGTATGTATATTTGAGTTAAGAATATGAAAGGGAATGAAATACGAAGAATTGAAGTTGGAAATAGTGAATTTTCGTGCATGAACAGTGATTTCTAGGTAAAATTTAAAGATTTTAATAGGGGTACCGATACCCTATGGGGAGATACCGATACCCCATAAAGTAAAAAGTGAATATGGTATATTAAATTCGTTTAGGCTATTAGTATCATATTACAAGGTGTAGATATCTGATAATTACCTTAAAATGTATGGTTATGTAGACATTGAACGTGAACAAGTTCCAGAACAATCAAAGAATTAGGATCGAATCAAAGCAAGGCTAAGGTGAGTGCAATTTAATTTATACTTATGTTATTGAATAAACATTGGCTTGCGATGAGCCAGTGACGGAGTTACTATGGTAAGAAGTGACTCCTAAAATGTTATTGATTATTGTATATGTTAAATGATAGGTGTGATTACATGTTAGTGTGATTGTGAATGGTTATAAATGAAACAAGTGATGATATAAGATATATGATATGAAATATGATAATGAGCCATGTGAAAGAACCATGAGATACATGAGCTTTTATGAATATGTGATCTGAATGTATATGTGAATACAAGAGATTAAGTGATATGAACTACATGCTTATGTGATATGAATATGTGACATGAGTTACGCGATAATAAGCTAAGTGATACATGCTATATGATGTGAGATAGATGTTACACATACATGTGGTATGTGACTGAAGAAAAGAAATATGAGATTATAAGAGCAATGATATGAATGCATGAATAAAGGAAGCATAGCGATAGTGCCCATGTTATGTGATATGAGAGCTAGGGGTATAGTTGGCATGCCAAGAGTCGAGGGTTTACCTATGTTCTTTGGGACATATGGACTGTTTACCTATGTTCTTCAGGACATATGGACTATTTACCTATGTTCTTTGGGACATATGGACTGATTACCTAGATTATTTGGGACCTATGGATTGATCATTCGGGACATTTATACGAGTTGTGGTGACAGTATAGTGGTGCACAACCTCAATGTACTTATATACCTTCAGTTCTCAACAATGTACATGGGCTAATAAAAAGATTTAATAAGTATACTGAATATGATATATATAGGTGATTTGTTATATGGAATAGATCACGGGATTTATGTAATGGTGTATTGCTTGGTTAATCCATGATACGTTATGTATAATATTGTTAAATTATAAGGAATAATGACAATGAATATGAAATGTTAAACGTGTTGATAAGGATATATGTGCATGTGGGTATATGTTACAGAAATGATATATGTTTATATGATAAAAAGAATTAGTGGCATGTGTAAATACACTATATGTGATATGTATATTTGGTAATATGATATATGTTATAGAAACTACATGATGATATGTTTATTCTTTGGTGTAGTGATATATGTTTTATATGTCTCACTAAGTCATCGACTTAGCGTGTGATTGTTTCACACGTAGGTTTGGAAAGCGAAAAGAGAAGTAAAGAGGAACAAGACATGTCAGTTCTCCTTACTGAAGATCAGATCAGAAATGTAGATCGAATTACATGTATTTTGTTAGATAGAATTTAGTTGGCATGTAATAAAAAGGATTTGTATTGGATATGTTCTGATCGAGTTTTGGAATGTTTTAAACGTATATATGTATATGGTAAAAGTATAATAATAACGTTTTAAATTTTATGAGTTTTATACATGTTTTGCCTAGGTATTGTAGCAGGGTATCGGTACCCCTCCAGTATTCTGGAAAATTTTAGCATTCTGGTACTGTTCACGGTATTGTTCATCACTTTTTATACAGTATTGTTCATACCGTATTTTACTGTTAATAAAAACATATTTTTTTCAAATTGATTTTAACGAACATAATTCAACAATATATGATTATATTTTCTTAAAATAAGTCCAATTGATCAACTATTTTGTAAAAGTAAAGGTTTTGAAATGTCAATGTGACATCTCGGACTCGTACCCGGGTCGGGTACGGGTTGGGGTGTTACACTCAAACTTTTATAAAAAAATCAATATGATCCCTAAACATTTTTACACTCAATGTAGTCATTAAATTAATTTTTTAATAATTTCATTTTGTAATATTTTTATTTTTAATGTATTGAGTATCTTAATAATTATTTATATTTTATAATTTTAATCTAAATAAATTTTTAATTTTTTTAAATTAAATAAGTCCTTAAACTTTTTAATAATCAATTAATGCAATCTATCATCATCATCCATCGAGTACTACCACAACAGTATCGTAAACTGTCACATCAAAATTTTAGATTACCATGTAAGTTTAAGAACTATCTTGTAAGTGTCGTGACTGTCAACGTTTGATTCCTCATTTTAATGGGTTAATGATCAAACACTCAAACTTTTATAAAAAAATCAATATGATCCCTAAACATTTTTACACTCAATGTAGTCCTTAAATTAATTTTTTAATAATTTAATTTTGTAATATTTTTATTTTTAATGTATTGAGTATCTTAATAATTATTTATATTTTATAATTTTAATCTAAATAAATTTTTAATTTTTTTAAATTAAATAAGTCCTTAAACTTTTTAATAATCAATTAATGCAATCTATCATATCATCATCCATCGAGTACTACCACAACAGTATCGTAAACTGTCACATCAAAATTTTAGATTACCATGTAAGTTTAAGAACTATCTTGTAAGTGTCGTGACTGTCAACGTTTGATTCCTCATTTTAATGGGTTAATGATCAAACTTAACGGTTTGTCACGGCTTGACCCATTTTGAGTAACGAAATGAAATATTGGCACCAAACTGGACCAAAATAAACGTTATGCACTAAACTGGAAAAATAGGCATAGATTGGGCACTTATTGTATACTTAAGCCAAAGCTAAAAGGTTTAATTTTTTATTTTTTATTTTTTATTTTTTATTTTTAATTATTTTCAAAATTCATTTTTTAATATTAAAAATAATACAAGTGACAATTTTAATGGGTTAACGGTCAACCTTAACAGTCCGTCAGGGCTTGACTCATTTTGAGTAACAAAATAAAACGTTAGGCACCAAATTAGAATAAAATAAACGTTAGACGCTAAACTGAAAAAACTGACATACATTAGACACCTTTTGTATACTTAAGCCTTAATTAAAAATAAGTTGAGGTAATAAATAAATCATTAAATTTTATTATAAATTTGGTTAACTAGTTGGTTAATAGAAGTTTTTGTTTGTTTGGTTTAATAAAATATTAGTTATTTTCATTTTCTTAGAAAATATAAAACGTTGAATAAAACATGTTTGATTGTAAAATTAGAAAATAATTTCTAAAAATGAAAACAAAAATGAGTGAAAATACAAAACATTAAAAAACGATTTCAATATTTTCATTAAAATTGTTTTAAAAATTTGAAAAATATGAAAACATGATATATAGATTTTAACTTAACTTACACAAGTTTAAATCATTCAAACAATAATTTTTTAATTTAATGATATTTGAAACCCTCAAACTTTTATAAAAAAAATCAATATGATCCCTAAACTTTTTTTACACTCAATGTAGTCCTTAAATTATTTTTTTAATAATTTAATTTTGTATTATTTTTATATTTAATGTATTGAGTATCTTAATAATGATTTATATTTTATATTTTTAATCTAAATAAATTTTTAATTTTTTAAAATTAAATAAGTCCTTAAACTTTTTAATAATCAATTAAGTCAATCTATTATATCATCATCTATCGAGTACTCCCACAACAATATCGTAAACTGTCAGATCAAAATTTTAGATTACCATGTAAGTTTAAAAACTATCTTGTAAGTGTCGTGACTGTCAATGTTTGATTCCTCTATTTAAAGGGTTATATTATTTTTTTCCTAAGTTTAAGAATCATATTTGGTGCAAAAAAAAAAACGTTCAGGGACTACACTAATTATTTTTTCCAAAAGTTTGAGGGTTTCAATTACTACTAAACATATTTTTTTATGTTAAGGACACTTTTTGTGCTATTTCTTATAACAAAATTTTGTGTATTTTTTAAATTTAATTGATGTCCAATATGCATTAATATTATATTTTTATTATAAACTAAAATAAATTTTTTGTTATGAAATTTCTTATCAATTTTATTGTTTTATATTTACATAATTCACATGTTAAATTTATGTAATGAATTTTTTTAATTATTATAGTTTAATTTAATTATTTAATAGCTATTTGTTTTTTTTCTTTTTTAAAAAATTAGATACAACATATATTTTTATTGTTCTAGTTTTGAATTAAAGTTTTCATTTATATTAATCAAACATGTTTTCTAATTTTCAAAAAGTTGAAAATTATATATTCTTATTTTATAACTTAATCATTAAATAAAATATTATTTTTTTCAAGCACTTAACTTATAAAAACCATACACAAATTTATACCTCACTGAAATATATTAATTTGTTTTAAAAAATTTGAATTAAGGATATTTATGGCGTTTTAATTTTATTTCCTTTTTATTTATGGACTTATATAATTAGTAATTTGTAAATAATAATAATAGCTAAAAGAAAAAGAAAAAGGTCCTTAAAAACAAGGGAATACAACCCATTTTGATATCAAATTTTGGTTAATTGGTTTAATTTTAAAATGGTGGTGGTGCACCGAAGCTCTATCTCAAGTCCACCGCATTGAATCTCTCCTCTTTTAAAATACTATTCATTTACGATTCCAAAACTTTACCTTTGCTCCTTTCTCATAACGAAGGCGACATTTAATTGACCTTCGCATCATTATCTGCGCGTATAAACCCTAAATCTACCATTTACCTATCTCGCGCTGTTCCGTCTGTTCGACAAAATGGTAAGATCTTTCTCTTCTTTCATTGACATCTTTTTCCCTTCTTTCTTGTTTGTTTTTAGTTCATCTGGTCTATAATTCCTCGTCTGAAATCCGGTTTTTGTTATGAAACAGGCGGATTCTCCTCGTAAAAGGTTAGCTTAAGTTCTCATTCAGTGTATTTTGCCTTTAATTCTCTGGCTGTATTATTTGTTTGCTGCTTATTTCTTTCGAATTAGTATACTGTACCTAGATTGAACAAGTCGGGGTGATTGAGGGATTTGATGAGCTTCATTTTGCGCGATTCAGTCTGTATCAATTTTGATGCTGCAAATTTTTTTATTTTCTTAAAAAATATTTTATTTCTTTTAACGTAATGTTTTGAGGACTGTTTTATGTTGAGCCTTCCACACTTTCGCAAAGCCTATTATTCAGTTTTTGTTTCATCTATCTCCATCTTCGTCTAATATGTTGCCGGTTGTATCAGGAATCCTCAGTCTCCCTCTCCATGGAGAGAACAATCAAGGTCTCGATCCAGATCTAGATCTAGACCTAGGTCTAGGTCGAGATCACCCTCCTGGTCGTGGCCAAGGCATAGGTCCAGGTCTCGCAGTCGTGGCAGGTCTGTTATTCAGCTGCTTGGTTTCAATTCATTTTGTGAAGTATTGCTTATCATTTTTTTAAAAGAATTGTGCTTTTTTCCGCTTTTCTTTCATGATCCAGGTCAAGATCAAGAAGTCGTGGCAGGTTAGTTTTGGTTTCGGCGTTGTTTTCCTCTATGTGGTTGTGATCTGAACTGCAACGCTAATGCTTATACCCCCATATATTGTATTATCTTACTTTAATGATGGAATTTCAGATGCCCCTTTATTTATTTATATTATTTTGGATTGATTTGTCAGGGCCGAATCTGGAAATCCTGGAAACACACTTTATGTGACTGGTCTATCTCAAAGGGTCACAGAGAGGGATCTTGAAGACCACTTCTCCAAAGAGGGGAAGGTTGGTTTTCTTCCATTTACCCAAAACTATGGGATCCTTTTTTCATTATTTTACTGCTACCATCCCATCTCAGTGTAATGATTAATGAGTTGATTTTGTTTTGAAGGTAGCATCATGTTATTTGGTCGTTGAACCTCGTACACGCATATCTCGTGGTTTTGCTTTTGTTACCATGGACAATGTTGAAGATGCCAACCGCTGCATAAAATATCTCAACCAATCAGTTTTAGAAGGTCGATATATAACTGTGGAGAGGGTAATCTGATTCTATCCTTGCTGCTTTTAGTTTTGTGTGTTTATCACCCGTCTTAACCTGGAGGTTTTCTGGTTATATTCAGAACAGTATTTTGTCAGCTATGTTGGCAGCAATCAAAGATGATGAGATCATCCATCTCAACTTAAGTCAAACAAGCATGATCAATGACCAGCTAAAACAGCTTGAAAATTCATGTGATCAACTAAATTAGCAACTGTATTGCCCAACAACTTTACAACCTCAGCATTCTCTTTCAACTTTCAACTAATCAACGGCCAATACAACAACTTTATAATCAGGCTTTTATGGTATATCACGTAAGACATTTATGTAATAGGAAATACTTGTGTCCAGATGTGTATCATGCTTTTCTTCTTCCCTTTCTTTCAATGGCCATTTTTTCACCTACCAGGTGAAATTCCAAATGAAGGTTTTTCCCCTATTCAGAGTAACATATTAGCTCTTTGATGATATAATTTTGTTAAAAAATGCATAATGCTGTAGATCCTGAACCGTTTTGATGATGCTTACCTAATATTTGCCTAGTTGAATATTAAGGTGTTTTATCTGCTTTTCAGTCACGTAGGAAGCGGCCAAGGACTCCTACACCTGGGCACTATCTTGGACTGAAAAATACCAGAGACTATGGTATGTCTGAAAATTTAAATAAATTATATTGTTAGAAAACAAGATGCTATGATGAGGCTGTAACTAATGCTTTTTATGATCTTGCATTGGGGAACAGGTGGACGTAGTGGTCATGATGCCTATGGGTATCGTCGATCTCCAAGGCGCTCACCATATCGAGGTCGTGGTTACTCTCCAAGATATTCTTCTCATGGTGGAAGATCAAGGAGGGACCGTTCGTATTCGCCACCTTATTCTTGTGGTTCTAGGTGAAGAACGGTACTGTTGGAAGCAATCTCTAAGCGGGAAAAGACGAGGGCTCTCGTCAATGTTGAATGCTGATGTATTCTCTAGTTTGGAGTTTGGACAGCTTGAGGTTGACGTTTGCAGCTTCCTCCTTTTCTCTATTTAGGATGTAGTTGTACTTGTATGGTGCTATTAAACTTGTGCGACAGTATTAAAAGATTAAAGGATCCTGAACCGTTTCAGCCTTGTATGGAAATTATGAATCTGGTTTCTGAAGTTTCATTAATTTTCTCATGTCAAACTTGCTTTAAAGGTTACTGCTCCTGAAGTTAGGCATTAACTTCTTCCTCGCGGTAAGCTTCCTGTAAATATTTATTCAAAAAATTTCATCTTCGGTATTCTGGCTAATATATAGCATATTTTAAATGGTAAAAAATGTTAAATTCTATTGAAAAAAAGTACATTAAAATTCTAAACTACATTCTTTCATATACAGCTAACTTATTTCGTTTTTTGGAAGTTTAAGCTATATTGGTCAAATGTAAGTTTAATTAGACAAAGGTTGTGACGACCTATGCCTTCAATTTTCCAGCTGATTGCCGGTTGTCGTGATCTGGTTTCTATGGGTTTTACACGGACTTTTGGCAGGTTGGGTCCTGGTAGATTTATTATTTGTATAATTGAATGGGGGTGATCAGATTAATCTGAATTTCAAAAAAATTTAGTCATTTTGGGGTTTTGATCATATTAAGTCTAAATTATTTTTATTTTTAAATTAGTTTGGATTTGATTTTTTTCCTCTTGGTTGCAAGGTTTTGTCTTGACTAATCTAGACCGACTTGCATTGCATCTGACTTTGAGAGGGAATTTTAAATTAATTTGGATTTGAATTATTGGCTTTTTATTAATTAAAAGAAGTTAAATTAGATTTATATAGTTGTTGATTGGATCAAACCATTGAATTCACATGAACAAAAAAGAATGTTTGTTTGTTATGTTTAATGGGCCAACTACAAATGGTATTGGCCCATATTCATCTGGCTGAGTCGTCACTAGTGGAACTCAATGTCATCATCCGATAAGAAGAAATAAATTAAATAATTGTTTGGAGCAAAACAGCACACGATAGAGAAGCAATGTCAGTGTCACTGCCCTCTCCCTCCATCCTAAAACCCCCAACCCCCAAAATCTTCTCCATTTCACTGCTTCCTCTTTTTGCTCCCGCCAAGCTTTCTCGGCCTCACAACTTTCATTTCTCCCTTAAATTACACTCCGTCTCCCCTTCCTTTCTCTCTTCTTACATCGCCCAAAACGACGACGGCGCCAATGATGATGAAGAATGCTTCATCGGTGATTGCCTCGCCTTCGAAGACGGCGCTTTCGAAGACCCTTATCTCCAAGCCGACTCCACGTTTGACACCCCCAATACCTCCACAACATTTGCTAAAGCGAAACCCAAGAAAAATAAGAATAACAATAAACAATCGGAGGAAATTGAACCCGAGAATTTGATTCCTGAGCAATGGAGCCATGTCGTAGAAAAGATCAATATAACCAAGTAGGACAGACGGAAAATGGTGGAGTTTGGGTGAAGAGTCGAGAAGAAGAAGCAAGGTATGGTCCCTATAAGGAACGTGAATTTGCAAGAATACTTGAAGTATAAAGAAGCTAAATTAGCTCAGTTGAATCATGTGGTTCTTGATAAGCCTTCGAGTTATTCCGTGAAGGAGGAGGAGGAGAATGCGGAAGAGTCAATGGAGGCTGCAATGAGTCTGTCATCTTCGGGTGAGCGCGTGGCTCCTAAGAATCCCAGGTGGGCAGTTTACGGAAAGGGTTTCGATGATGAGCTCAGTTCTTCAATAGCGAAAACTATCAGCTCGACAAGAAAAAGTATGGAGGTAATGTCTGTTGGGGAAAACGGGTTATTTCCCACACGAACGTAGTTTTAAAATTGACTTAAAATATCAAGATTAAAACCACTAAAGGTTGCACAGCGGATAAACCTGTCAAACTATTGAATATTGAAACACAATGGAAAAGAACCGAATAAAAAACAATAAAGGAGAGAACACACCAAATTTACGAGGTTCGACGAGAATATCGTCTACTCCTCGGGCACCACACCGGATGATAACTTCACTATATCGCCAATAGTACAACAAATGTAATTCTTTGGAATTCCCAAAGTGGGAGAATGGAGAATACAAGAGGAAGAGAGAACTTGTTTTTGGGATGATTTCTAATGGAAATACTTAGGCCTATTTATAGTTGAGTTTCAAGAAAGTTTGGCTACCTACCAAAGAATTTTCCAATGTGTACAAGTTAGCCACCAAATATGAAATTCACATGTTCAAAGTTTGGCCACCAACCAAGATGAAATTTCCAATAAGTTGACCACCAACCAAGATGAAATTTCCAACTTGTCAACTTAATTTCTAGACAAATCTAACAAATCTCCACCTTGGCTTGAAATTACCAAGCCTACTCAACTTCTTCAACTCCCCAAATTTGTAGTGCCTCTAATTTCGCTCACAAGCGCCACACACCCGAAGGTGTTCATACTTTCAGGATGTTAATCAAGTTCAAACAATGATTGAACTTGATTACTGTTACCACCTTGGTCATCATATCTGCAGGATTTTCTGATGTCGCAATTTTCTGAAGTATAATCTTTCCATCTTCAAAGATCTCCCGCACAAAGTGATACCTCACGTCGATATGCTTAGTCCTTGAATGGTAGACTTGATTTTTCGCTAAGTGAATAGCGCTCTGACTGTCACAATAGAGACTAATGTGACTTTGAACAACTCCCAAGTCTTCCATCAACCCGTTAAGCCAAATTACTTCCTTTACAGCCTCTGAAACTGCCATGTATTCTGCCTCTGTAGTAGACAAGGCCACCGTAGATTGCAATGTAGACTTCCAACTTACTGGGGCTTTAGCAAGAGTAAACAAATACCCAATAGTTGATCGACGCTTATCCAAATCACCAGCATAATCGGAATCAACATATCCAACCATACACTGACCAAGTGCTTCATCCTGTTTAAAAACTAAACCAACATCCACGGTTTGTTGGAGATACCGTAGAATCCATTTCACAGCTTGCCAATGTCCTTCTCCAGGATCATGCATGTACCTGCTCACAACTCCAATTGCTTGTGAAATGTCAGGACACGTACACACCATTGCATACATCAAGCTCCCAACTGCATTAGCATATGGAACTTTTGCCATATACACTCGTTCTTCGTTAGTTTTAGGAGATAATTGAGAACTAAGTTTCAAATGAGAAGCCAATGAGATACTTACATGTTTGGTATTTTCATTCATGCCAAAACATTGTAATACCTTTCTCAGATACTGCTTCTGTGTTAAACAAAGCTTCCCTCTCTGTCTATCTCTGCTTATCTCCATACCAAGAATCTTCTTGGCCTCACCTAGATCTTTCATCTCAAACTCTTGATTCAACTGAGCCTTTAATTTGTCTATCTCCTTTTGACTCTTCGAAGCGATCAATATATTGTCAACGTACAAGAGAAGATAAATGAAAGATTCATCTTTGAGCTTTTGCAAATACACACAATGATCATATTTGCTTCTAGTATACTTTTGCCTCCTCATAAAGCTATCAAATCACTTGTACCACTTCCTCGGAGATTGCTTCAATCCATATAGCGATTTGTTCAGCTTACAAACCCATTTCTCACAATCACCATCTTTGTATCCTTCTGGCTGTGTCATATAGATCTCCTCTTCTAAATCACCGTGCAAGAAAGCCGTCTTTACATCAAGTTGAGCTAGCTCCAAATTCAACTGTGTACCAAGGCCAACAATATTCTAATGGAGGAATGCTTCACAACAGGGGAAAATACTTCATTGTAGTTGATTCCCTCCTTTAGAGCGTAGCCTTTAGCTACCAACCGTGCCTTGTAGCGAACATCTTTCTTGTTATGAGATCCATCTTTCTTTACAAATACCCACTTGCATCCAATGGCTCTTTTACCTTTCGGTAATTGTGCCAGTTTCCAAGTGTCGTTCTTTTGGAGAGATTGCATTTCTTCATTGATAACTCCTTGAAAAGGTCATATTTTGGGACCTTTTCACTTAAGTTATTGAATGTCTAAGAACCTATTTAGGACCATTTAGATGCATTTAGGAGCATATAGTTGCATGTGGTGGATTTCAGTTTGCCGTGGCATTTTATTTTTACAGCGGTACTGCTTTATGGGAAAGGTACTTGTCTGATGGTGTGCAGGTATTGAAAGCAAGGAAAAGAGGAAAGAAAATGCCGTGGCATAAGGAGACTGCTGAGCAGAATGAAAATGCCGAGTCTGATTGGCATTTCGAAAGCGAACAAAGTGAAAGAAGATATTTTTGCAGCCAGCAGTCTCTGACTCTTCGAGAGCTCTGCCTAAGAAACCTGCCTCGAAGATCCTGCCTGGAGGAACCGGCACTGCAACCGCCGACTTTGATAATAACGCCGCCTGACCTTGCAGGTTCTGTCTGTCCTTGGGCGTCTGCAGTGGGATTGTGCCGGGTCTAAGCCAGCAACCCAGGCTGCATCATAACCAGCTCTGCCCGACTCCCAAGCAAATCAACCATGGTTTTAGGGTTTCCTAGGATGGTTAACACCAAAGCTTAGGATTTCTTTTCCCCTATAAATAGAGGAGGAAGCCATATTGAAGAAGACTTTAGTTACAACCACATTTGATCTTAAAAAGTTAGAGAGAGAAAGTCTCATCTTTCTCTGTCAATCCCACTTGCCGTGGCATTTATCCTTGACTAGCAGAAGGGAGTGGCGTTCTGAGCATCCGAGAGGAGCTAGTCCGCTGGGAGCAGTCCTTGGTGGCCGAGGAAGGCATTTGGCAGTGCACGTCGAAGGCTTTCTCTCCTCCCCTTAGTCCTTGCTTTTATATTTTGTTGTTGGGTTGTAAGGAACGAATGAATCTTGCTTTGTGCTTGTTGATTTCGAGCCCCACCATGAACTAATCCTATTTGGTGGGAGTTCGCATGGTTATTTAAGTTGTTATTTTAATGAATGGTTGTTGTTTCATGCTCTATTCTGTTTTGTTTATGATGCTTAAAGTCTTGAGGTTGTAGGAGCTACGAGAGTAGCCTTTCCTTAGGAGGGTTCATGAGGTTCCAGAGAATGCCTTGGAAATTTATCTTTAGTCTTCGAGAGAAGCTAGGGAGGACCTATATAAACAACGGGTTCTAGATAGTAACTAGGCCTAATCCACCTTAGAGATAAGA